AGGCCTTCTCCACACTATGGTCTGTGTTCATGGATTATGCATATATACATATAAATTCTTTGATTAATCTCTCCTCACTCCCCCACTCCCCCAACCCCGCTTTTCCTCTGAGATCCCTCAGTCTGTTCTGTGCTTCTGTGTCTCTGGAACTATTTTGTTCATCAGTTCATTTGTTCATAAGATTCCACATATGAGTGAGATCATGTGATATCTGTCTTTCTCTGACTGGCTTATTTCACTTAGCGTAATACTCTCCAGGCCCATCCTTTGCCATTTTTAAATAGAGTTATTTGCCTTTTTACTTTTGAATTGCAAGAGTTCTGTTATATTTAGGATACCAACATGGTCAGGGGGTTTTATTTCTTTGGGGTAAAAATCTAGGAGTAAAATTTCAGGAACATTAATTGGGTGTTTTTGTAAGAAGCTACCAAATAGTTATTCAAAGTGGTGATACTAATATACATTCCTACAAGAAATTTATGAGACTTCCAGTTGCTCTGCATGCTTAAAAACATTTGATCTTGTCAATATTTTTCTTTTAGCCATTTTGATGGGTGTGAAAGGGTATCTTACTGTGATATTTAATTTCCATTGCTCTGGTGACTAATGATATAGTGGACTTTTCACATTCTCAGTGACCATTCATGCATCCTTTATGAAGTGTATGTTCAAGTCCTTTGTCCATTTTTAATTTGGCTATTTGTTTTTTTTAATTGTTTATTTGTAGGAATTCCTTTTATAGCCCAGATCTGAGTCTTCTGTCTGATATATGTTTTGCAATGATCTCTCCTTTCCTCTTCCCCAAACTCTGTGACTTGCTTATTTATTTTTTTATTCATACATTTAATGCGGATAAATTTTTATTTTTTATGAAGTCAAATTTATTAATTTTTTAATCTTATACTTAGTGCCTTTTTATTCTAAGAAATATTTGTCTATCCTAAAGTTATAAAGATAGTCTATGTTCTCTTCTAGGAGCCTTATGGTTTTAGGTTTTATATCTATGAGAAATATTAACTTAGTTTCTGTGTATGGGAGAGGCAGGGGATGAGGTTCCTTTTCTTTTCGATAAGGATATCCAGTTATTGCAGCACCACCTGTTAAAACAATTTCCCTCCATTGATTTGCCTTAACACTGTGGATTGGGTTGTATTGGCTCTATATTTGTGGATTTTTCTCTGGACTTTCTCTTCTATGTCATTCATTTGTCTCCCCATACACCAATACCACACTATCTTGATTATATCCAAGTTTTTAAAACATTAAAGTTTTAGAAGCATCCATTCAGCACTTATGTGTTTGAGACTCCATCTGTCACTAATGACCATTATATGAGATAGACATTATTTCCTATCCTCCATTGCCCCACGTCATCATAATTAGAATATAATACCAGTTGAATAGGACATGCTTGAACACTAGCCTATGCTATTACAAATGCCATATTTTTTTCTACCTTCCTAGAAATTAAGTGCACATGCCTTTGATTGACATTTAAGCTCTGTCAAAATTAGCCCCTCTTGCTGCTCCAGCTATGTCTCCTAAACTTTTCTTAAAAGTACTCAAAGCTCTAACCAAACCAGACGTCTCGCAGATTTCTAAACATGCTCCACCCTTTTTCACACATATGTTATTGCTGGCATGTGTTCTCTGCCCACCATTTCTGTATCTAAATTTAGCTAATATTTACATTTCCATCTCAAAACAAATCTCTCCATCAAGCTGTTACTGAGCCCAACATTCTAATGTGATATCTCCGCCTCGAAGTTCTTATACCACTTTATAGCTCTGGTGGCACTTAGGATATTCTGCATTATACTACGTATTTATTCTGTATTCTTGACCAGTTTTCCCCCTAGAGAGAAAACCCCTTGAAGGCACAAGTGTATTAATTATCCTTGTTTCTCTTGGCTAGACATTTCAACAAATTTAAGTGAAAGAAATTTTTTGTTAGTGAAAATATTGTGATTAAGGAACATTTTTTAAAGCGAGTAGGTTAACCCAGCTTGTGGTTCAGGATAATCCCCAAATTTATTCTGTCAATTTAATCCCCCCCAATTTTTTTTTTTTTTCTTTTCAAATCAGAACTTTCCAGTTGGAGGATTCTCAGGACTGTAGCAGAGATTTTGTAGAGATCCGGGAAGAAAATGCCACTGGTCACTTGGTGGGAAGATACTGTGGAAACACCCTCCCCCTCAATTATTCATCCATTGTCGGGCATAGCCTGTGGATCAGATTTGTCTCTGATGGCGCAAGCAGTGGCATAGGCTTTCAGGCCGTGTTTGCTCACAGTGAGTTGGTTCTGTTTCAGTGATGCTTTCTAGAATGAGGCTTACAAACTGGAAAGGATAGCACTACTTTCAGGAAAGCACTAAAAACAATCCTGAACTCTACGCTATTCTCCTATATTTATTGTCTTTGTGGTATTACTTCATAATGTAATACAGTATATTAAAAAAACTAAATTACATACGAATGGCTCATTGAAAGCCAGTGAGAATTCTCAAGGGTTCTAATATTTTTGTTAAGCTTTAGTTGTACTTAATTGTTAAATTGAACTTTTTTCATGATAGTGTGTTAGTCTTTGAAGGTATTATAGTTCAGGTTTGGTGTATTTATATCAAATGTGTTTCATTTGATCCCATAAACTCTATATTCTTCAAATGAAAAATGTTTAGTATTACTTTGGGATTGACTTTTAAGTGTTCAGATGTTATAAGAACAGAGTATTCTTCCAATAGCATAAATGTTAAATATTTTTATTTTTTAAATCAACTTTTCCATGATTAGCTATTATATATATATATACATGTACTTCCTGAATGTCAGATTCTCTTATCTAATACAATTTTTAAAAACATGTTTTATTCTCTTATAAGACAAAATAAAGTAGATAAACCAAAATTAGAGAGTGGGGCTGGTAACCCCCCTTCCCATGTCCCCAAAACCCCTGGGGTTTGGGAATCTCATTTCAAATGGGAAGTTATCCTTTGTTTTCACACCAGCAACCTTCCAAGGAGATGGAATTCCATTCACAAAGTCACCCTTCTCCAGAAATTAATAGATAGCACAGAAACCAAAAGGGAAGCAGTGTTTCTTTCAGTATTCAGAAAAGAAATCACGGCCAATTAAAAGTCCATCCTTTGCAACACCCCTTGCCTTTTGTTTCTTTCATTTGATTAAAAAGCTGTTCTAAGTAGTTCTGATTTACTACTTCGTTTTTCCTCCTAGTGTTTGGCAATGATAATATTGTGGGAACTCATGGGAAAGTTGCCTCTCCCTTGTGGCCTGGAAATTACCCCCACAACTCTGATTACCACTGGATAGTAAATGTGAATGCCTCTCAAGTTGTCCATGGTAGAATCTTGGAGATGGACATTGAATCAACCAACTACTGCTATTATGACAAATTAAGGGTGAGTTTCCAAGAGCAACTGATGCTTATAACTTTGGTGAATTGCTATTGGCAAAAATAAATCCAAGTTAGTGTTTGTTCAAGCATTTGCAAATCGTATGGGATGGTCTGTCTGCTTTAAATCACGATTACCCCCTCTGTCTTAACTGTGCAGAGGTAATTCTGGTATTATATTTATTTGTATTTTTTACCATTATTATAATTTGCCTTTGAGCTTTAAATAAGTATATATGTATTTCTTAATTATTTATTCTATCTTGTATCCCATTTCCTGTTTATTCTTATGTTAGGGTATTAAAATTTGAAGAATCCTTTTAAAATACATATATACAAATATAAAAATTGTGGTGATCATCGCCATCCATTGATTATTGTATCAGTTTCAGAAACATCATCAGGTTTTATTGCCAGCTTTATTGAGGTATATTTGACAAACAAATATGGTACTTATTGAAGATGTACAACTTGATGTTTGGATATATGTGAAATATATGAGTTTGGCTATTTTACTCTCAGATTCTCAAAGGCTATGATTCCACCGTATTCATCTTGGGGTCACAGTGGCTCAAATAACTCAGTACCTGTTAGGTGCTCAGTATGTGAGACAGTAATTATACACAATTTGAAAAACTGAGCTTACATAGTAACTTCAGTAGAGAAATGTATGATAACAATTATAATTAATCTGTTCCAAATTATTTAGGAGAAGATTGAGGGAAAGGTAGGAAATGTGGTTGAATAGCATCCATCCATTCACATGGGCAATAAAAAGAAAATGTGCTACATGCTGTGTGTTTGCGAACCATCATAAAATATGTCTCTAAATAAGTATTTAATATTTTAAAGCAAATGAAAAGACTTATTGAGTGCTTTGAAGGTGTGCTGAGCTGTTGCAAGCTACGGTTCTCTCGTTGTTATTAATTCAGTTTCTTTGCTTCTGTGGAGAGAGGAGCTCCTTTAGGACACCTGTTCCCTTCCTCTCACTAAACCTGTGCTCTTTCTTGTTTTTCCCCCCTTTTCTTCCCAATTCCCTTTGAGGCCCCAAAGCACATCCAATAACTGTTGTTTTTGTACCCCTATCCTGGTTTCTACTTTTTCATCACCAAATTTTACTGTAAGTCATACAATGAGCTCTATATTTAATGACATTTTTTATTTTAGAACAGATTCGTTCACTCACTTATTTTTTCCATTATGATAAAATTATTTTAACATAAGGCATTCTTTTAGTTTTTCAATGAAGAAAAATAGAGGAAATTGCCTTCACTCAATGATCTATTTATTATCTGTTTTTTACATGCAGATTTATGATGGTGCTGGCATTCACTCCCGCCTCGTTGGAACCTACTGTGGTACCCAGGGCCAATCCTTTAGCTCCACAGGAAATACTTTGACATTTCGGTTTTCTTCTGACTCTTCGATCTCAGGGAAAGGATTCCTTCTGGAGTGGTTTGCAGTGAATGCTGCTGTTGGACCCTTACCTACCATTGCTCCAGGTGTGTTTGGTAACAAATGAAATTCTTTTTAGGGGCTGATATGTGTAGGCCAGCATTTTAAAGGGTCCTACCATAATAGGGGCAACTACACAAATGAGTGAGAAGAATAAATACAGCCCCCAAACCTTCCTCCATAGGTACAGGTGCTCTTTCCATTTCATAGATATGTAAAAATTGTATGTTTGCCCTGGCCAGTGTGGCTTAGTTGGCTGGGCGTCATCCCATGCCCCGAAAGGTTGCTGGTTCGATTCCCAGTCAGGGCACGTGCAAGAGACAGCAGATCAATGTTCCACTCTCACACTGATGCTTCGCTTTCTCTCTCCCTTCCTCTCTCTCTATAAACCTATGAAAATATTTAAAATAATAATAATTTTAAAAATAGAAATTGTATGTTTATTTCTATAAATGCTAGTTTCCCATTATATTTTTATATTAATTAACAGCTTAATATACATGTTATTCTACTTAAAATATCTACAGATCACCTTAGAGATCTCTGAAAATTTGATTTGCAAATACCACACACACACACACACACACACTAGTTAAGGGTCCGCTAATAAAAGGAAGTAACTGTTTTCCCTCTATATTTCACTTTAAATTTGCCTTCAGAAATGCTTCACTTTCCCGTTTTCTGGTTGTAACCCTTCATGTTTCAAGGTAAAATTGGCCTAAATTTTAAGCTTTTATTTTGCTATTTTTAAGACATCCTTAGTTCTCTCAGTAAACAGTGTTTTGGGAGACTGTGCTCTTTCCTTAAAAATTTGTTTAAGCAAATTTGAATGGCTTTTATGAATCTGAAGACTGACACAGAAGAAATCCAGCAGATATTTCTTGGAGCATACTCTTAGTTTTTGAAATATTTGATTGGAACATGTTATCATAGAGTCTCACTGAAGAATATTCAAACTGTGAAATTATTGTGGGAGTAAACAGACCTTCAAAAACCAGAGTCTATTTGCTTCTAACTTCTTGAGAGTTTGTATCAACAAAGATCACTGAAGGTATAACTCATACTTATTTTAATGAACCTTAGTATTCTGTTCCGAGATGTTATTTTCACCTCTTTTATAAGGTACTTTCATAATATTGAATATGAATCTCTTCCTTAAAATACTAATCCATTTATGCTAGAGCAAAGAGCCATCAGCAGGATGGCCAAATGTAATTTAGAGCTATTCATTTAAGTCTGAATAGCTCTTGTAAGTAAACTTGAGTTAAACTTCTTTTATATCCACAAATCTCAAGTTAGAGAAGGAATCACTAATTCATACAAAACATTATATCAGCAAATATAATTTAGTACTCACAAAAAAATAAATTTTTTTCTCACACATGTATTCTATAATTATATAATTTAAGTGGATAAGTAAACATAAAATCATAAATCTCAATTTTCTTAATTAAGAACAAGGGAAGGAGAAAGTAAGAGGGTGAGAGAATTTTATAATTTACTAGTTATCTAAACAGTATAAATGACTATCTCACGATGATATCACATGCTGAGGTTTTCATTAAAATGAAAAAAAGCCTAACATTTTACAACATATTAATATATTGAACATGGTATCACCAGCATTTCTTATGCATACAGATACTTAATTTAATTCAACAAACATTTATTGAGGATTTACTATATAGATACACTGAGGTGAGTGTACACTGAAGAAAGGAAACCAAGATATACTCTCTGCTTCCTAAGAACTTAACAGTATTTGGGAAAGATAAAGCATTCATTATATCAGTTAAATAACAATATGGTAATTAAATGATTAAATGACAAATGAGGTGGGGTAGGTAGCAAAAAAGCAATGGAAGGAAAAGAAGCTTAATGTGGACTAGGGTCATCTGAAGGCAATTAAATATGTCAGGTAGGGACCCTGTGCATTGCTTGCGGGAGTGTAAAATGGTACAGCCACGTTGGAAAAGTTCAGCTATGATCCAGCAGTTCCACCCTTAGTTATGCACCTAAGAGAATTGAAAATGTACATCCACACAAAAATTTATACATGGCTGTTTATAGAAACATTATTCATGATAGTGTAAAAGGGGAAACAACCCAAATGTCAAACGAGAGAAGAATGGAAAAGCTAAATGTGGAATATTCATACAGTGTAATACTAGTCAGCCCTAAAATAAAGAGATTACTGATACAGGCTAGAGGAGTGATGAACCTTAAAATATTATGTTANGGGAAACAACCCAAATGTCAAACAAGAGATGAATGGAAAAGCTAAATGTGGAATATTCATATAGTGTAATACTAGTCAGCCCTAAAATAGATTACTGATACAGGCTAGAGGAGTGATGAACCTTAAAATATTATGTTAAGGAAATGAAGCCAGTTACAAAAGGCCCATATTATAGGATTATATTTATATGAAACGTCCTGAATGGGCAAATCCATAGAGATAGAAAGTAAATTGGTGATTTCCATGGACAGGTGGAGTGGAGAACAGAGAATCAATGGTAATGGGTGTTGAGTTTCTTTTTGGAGTGGTAAAAATGTTCTAAAATTAGATACCAGTGATGGTTGCAGAACTTTGTGAGTATAGTAGAAATCCCTGAACTGTACGTTTTAAAAGGGTAAATTTTATGGTGTATGATGATAGCTCAATAAAGCCATTATTTTTTTTTAAAAAAATACCCGAATAAAAATAATGAAGGCTGTTCTTGTTATAAGCTCATGTGTTTTTTTGAATATTTCAGTTTACCAAATTGAAAATTGCTTCAAAACTGCCTANCTAGAAATCCCTGAACTGTATGTTTTAAAAGGGTAAATTTTATGGTGTATGAATGATAGCTCAATAAAGCCATTATTTTTTTAAAAAAAAATACCCGAATAAAAATAATGAAGGCTGTTCTTGTTATAAGCTCATGTGCTTTTTTGAATATTTCAGTTTACCAAATTGAAAATTGCTTCAAAACTGCNATGTGTTTTTTTGAATATTTCAGTTTACCAAATTGAAAATTGCTTCAAAACTGCCTAGATATAAATGGCATGATGAACAGCTATAGTAAAAAGGTAAAGATTAAAGCACGTGGGGAGCAGAGTTCTACCTAGATGATGATGATAAAGGGTCTTCTGCGTGGGCTTCATGTTTAACAAACCATCGGCACTCAATGAATGGGTTGTGTGGCAAATTAGGTGAAAGGGTAGAATACAATGTGTTTTTCTTCAAAAAAATTATGTTCATCACAGCTGTCTGAATCAGTGGGTTTAATACATGGTTTGTAGATTTTGAGAAAATCGTTTTCACTGGCTGTTTCCTTTTGGCACAGGACTGACACTTTGCACTGAAAGTACTAGTGTCATTTCATCAGAGGTGCTTCAGAGGTGTTGCCTTTTCACTCTGCAGGTGCTTGTGGCGGGTTCCTGAGGACAGGAGAGGCGCCAGTCTTTCTTTTCTCCCCAGGCTGGCCTGAAAACTACGGGAACAGGGCTGACTGTGTGTGGCTTATCCAGGCTCCTGATTCCACTGTGGAGCTCAACATCCTCTCCCTGGACATTGAATCTCATGGAACATGCAACTATGATAAACTTGTGATACGAGATGGTGAGAGACCTTTAAAACACAAAATAAAACCAAAAACTACCAGGTTTCCACTTGACACACATGTAGTTACAGTCAATGATAATCATACTTGTTTACTACCTTCATCCACTTGCATGGAATTTCACAGATATTATGATTAATGAAGGCATCAGATACTAGAATTGGCTACAATTTCTGAAGAACATAAGGAGACTATAAAATTGCCATTAGCAAACTCATGTACATACTATGTCAGGGACAGGATTACATTCCTAAGAAGAAACACTGCCTTTGGCTTAAGGAGGAAATAATAGTCTGAGTTTCCAGGTAGCACTGCTGTCTTGTTGAAAGGCTTTGGAAATAAATCCTGATATTTTATACTTATGACTTTAAGATCCAAGTGTGAAAAGTATAATTACAGTGTATTCAATCCTCTTTGTCTACTGATTCTCTGGGTAGAATGGGTAGAATTAAGGGCTAATATTTTTCATCTTTCCTTCCATACACAGGTGTGGTATTGCTATGCACTGATTGAGGGATATGAATGATGCTAATATGCAATGTGTACAAACTGTGCTTCACAATTTGCATCAACATCACCTGGGAATTTGCTAGAAACACAGATTCTGAGCCCCATGCAACTAGAAGCTCTCTCAGGATGGGTCCCAGATCTGTGATTTCAAAAGCCCTCAGGCAGAGCCAAGATTAGAGTGAGGAGAGTAAAGCTGGACCAGGCAAAGTGCATCGTCAGATCCTGCCTTTGTTTAAAATTTTAGTATTTTGTTCATTTTACATTGTCATTTTTTTAAATATTGCACTGAAATATTGTTTATCTTGATTTCTGAGGTCTGTAGCACCTCCTTAAATTTTGCCCTTGATTTGAGGTGGTTCGCTTGCCTGGCCTAGTCCCTGGCTCCAGGTGATTCTGATGGTCTCTAAGTTTGAGAACCACTTCTCTGCACGATAGATGCTGCAACTTCAAATGCCTTCCTAGACAACAGGTAACACAACCAGTGAAGTGTTAAACTGGAGAACAGAATTAAAGGGGCAGCTACTAGGAATGCAGGTTCGACGTTTGGATCTTAATTTTTTAGATGTGAGAAATACAGACTTTTCTATGAATTTTCCAAATGTTCAATAATGAAAAATATTTCAGAGCATATTTGGGGTCCAACAAATGTGCTTGCTTTTGGCTCACAGGTTGCTAGTGTGCAAGCTCTTAGTTTCCTTATTCCCTCAACCCTAGACACTAAGTATAGTGAGAAAAACCAATGGCAAAGATGCTTTACTTTCCTTCTGTGGAGGCTGGACCCCAAGGAAAGACTCAAATTAATCAGACAAACGGGATGAGATTATAAATCATAGTTTCCCCCTTTTTCTTATCAACAATCAGCTATCAGCACATTGCCCAGAGGAACTATCATCTTTCCTCATAGCAAGGCATTCCTGTGGATATTAAAATTTTAATTTTCTCATGCAATAAAATGTGTGTCCTCGCACACATATTCTGAATATTCAGAACCCAGTGAAAACTTTAAAAATGTGTCAATGGATGAATTATGGTTATTTTAAAAAAATCACTTTTATTGATTTTGTTCCACCAATAACTTCTCCTGGAAGCCTCAAACCTCAGGAGTGGTCCTTTTCTTCTTCTGGGTGACCTTGCACAAATTACTAAAAGGCGCCAAGTCTCTTTTATCATTTGTGAAAGAGACTAACATCTTCTTCCCAAGCTTGTTGTGAGGATCTGGGAAAGTAATGAGTGCAAAATCACCTAGCAAAAACCCTGGCATTTGGTCAATGGAGAATTTGGAACAGTTTAATTCAGATTTCAATTTACCGTGATAGAGATGTTTCTAAAAGAGGTTTCACCATATTCTGTTCATAGAATGAAAGTGTTCTTGCTGAGACATAGAGCTGCTCCAGAGAGCGCAATAAATTGAAGTATATACCAAACGATGACAGTATTTTTAATTGGCTGCGTGACCTATCCATATAGATTCCTTTTTGTTCACTAACAGTGTGTGTAGATGCCCAATAAGTTTATTCTTTCCTTATCTGTTTATTTACTCATTCAAGAAAGAGTTGAGTGCCTACTATGTGTTAATTACTGGGAATTTTTTTTCATTTGCACCATAGTAATATATCTTTAGAATTAAATTTCAAGTCCCACTTCAGCGACTTGTTCTTTTCAACCATATTTTTGCTTCCAAGAAGCAAGGTCATAGAACATTTTGAAGCAAATATCTAAATCCCATTGGTCACAAGCTCTGCTGCTCAGCCAGTCATCATAGCCCCTTGGCCCTCTGGTGGCTGTGGACATTCCTGGGCCACCGGAAAGTCCCCTGTGGCTTTCCTGCATATTCATTTTGCAGAGTTGTCATGTTTCAAAATCAAATCAATCTTTTCCAGATCAGGCACCAATAAATTTTGCATACCAAAGATTTCCACAAACTGAGGTTCCATGACACTGCATTGGGCCTAAAAACCAAGTTAAGAAAATAAGAAAAGGAGGGAGGGAGGAAGGGAGGAGAGGGAGGGGAAAGAAAAAAGAAAGAAAAAAATTGTATCAAAAATTAGCAATCCTTTTATTTGTTGAACTTTCTTTTTGATCCTAAATAAATCATTTAATACCATAGTTTGGGCACCTGGAGTTAATTGGCCAAGGTCTCAAACCCTTGTTGACTTCAGTGCTCTGTGCCCTTAGGCAAATTATATATCCCCTCTAAGACTTTTTCCTGTCTACAAAGTGAGGATAATAGTAATACCTACTTAGTAGTGTCACTGTGAAGATATAATCAAGCATTACATGGAAAGCACTAAAAATGGTAACAGTAATTGCTCAATAAATGTCAGCTACTAATATTCTCAGGCTCAGCTTGCATTTCTCTAAAATGAGGATGCTGGACTAGAAGGTGAAATCACCAACTGATCTTCTAGTCCTAGTCCTGTACTTTTCTTTGACTTGCCCCTCGCTCCTAAAGAGTGGGTTCATTCCTGCTGCAGTCCATATGTTGCGCTGGTGGAAAGCTCTAGAAATACTGCAGTTTTATTATGGACACCAGGAGAGGGACAAACCATCTTGTGGTTATTGGGTTATCTACTAAATCAATTAGTTCATCAATAAGTAATTATTTAGAGGTAAGCATTGTTTCATCAATCTGGGTGAAGTTTAGGAAAGAAATCCCCAGTCTCACTGAGGGATAAAATATACACATATGAAATAAATACTAGTATATAATAACTTCAAAATGTGGCAAAACACACGATTACAGAATAAGTTAACAAAAACAATTTGGAATGAAATGTGTAGCAAAATAGCATAGTGAAGATAAATACAAAAAAAGTTAGAGATAAAATTTTAAACTGCAAAAAATACAAAAGTTTCTGGGAGTCAGAAACCCTCCCAAGAATGTCTTCTCAAGCATCTTGTATTTATAGAGATGCCATTACATTTGTAATTATGGAAAATAACTTGTTTACTAAAGTAGTTAATAATGAGTGAGTTTTAGGTAGTGGTCAGTGTCAAAAAGGACTCATTTTGCTAGTTGTGTGAAAGGGCAAATTTCCTCATGTCTCATATTCTATTTTTGTTTTATGAGCTTGAGATTCATTAAGTCTCTGCCTTAGGGAAAAAAATAATGTGTCTTCCCAGCCAAGGAATCCAAGTCTGTTACAATTTCCTTTGCTCCATTCTGGCTTTGACGGGTACAGTTTGACCGAAACTGATCTAAGAGAAGCCAAAGGAAAAAGGGCCCTGAGGGGACCCAGCTCTCCTTTGTGTCTCTGGAGGAGCACACATGCTGAATCTATGTTGTCTCACCCTCCACACATGGACATAAGTGTTTCCTTTCAACAGCAGAACAAACAATAACAAACAAATGCAGTGTCAGACAAGAAAAACAAAAAACACCCTGGAGCCGATGGCACACATCTTGGCAAATGACCTTATAACGTGAGTACAGGATCTGAGGCTGAAGAACCAACGTTTCTTTCTCTTTTAGATTCTTGACCTTCAGCCATCAGAATAATTTAGGTCNTTCCTTTCAACAGCAGAACAAACAATAATAAACAAATGCAGTGTCAGACAAGAAAAACAAAAAACACCCTGGAGCTGATGGCACACATCTTGGCAAATGACCTTATAACATGAGTACAGGATCTGAGGCTGAAGACCCAACGTTCTTTCTCTTTTAGATTCTTGACCTTCAGCCATCAGAATAATTTAGGTCGGTGCCTAACTCACACATCAGCTCTGGTCTGAAATCACTCCCAATCCCATGGACTCTGATTTTGAGTTTAATGCCAGCAAGAACTGTCAGCCAGTGTTTAGAAAGACAGTGGGAACTGTCAAAGTGTTTATCGGAAAAGGTAAAGAGAAAGGCAGGAGGCACCATTACCAAGGAGCCAGAATGACGTGTCCCTGGAGTGTCCTTGTACTTGAGAATCACATGTGCTGGGAAGGCAGATGTTCTGAGAAAAATGTGTGAGCTGCTTTGGCTGGGTTGCAAATGATGGCAGAGGAGATTCTGAAGACATATTTTTATGCTGGTGTTTCCTTTCCTTGGTTCTAGGAGACAATGACATGGCCCAGCAGCTGGCAGTTCTCTGTGGCAGAGAGATCCCTGGGCCCATCCGGTCTACAGGAGAGTACATGTGGCTCCGGTTCACCTCGGACTTCAGTATAACCAGGGCGGGCTTTAACGCATCCTTCCACAAGAGTAACGTGCTCCAACTTATTTAGTCAAATCTCATTCCATCTAGCCTACCTCTTGCTCTCGCCCTAATCTTCTCTGCTCACTTTCCCATGTCAGGACACAGGTTGATTCTAAGTCAGAGGACACAGGTCCTTGCCCAGCCTCTGGATGGTTGTCCTTATGTCAGCTACTGAGTCTTGATCCAAGAAACTGGCCAAGTTGTACAAAAGGATCGCTGCCTTCAGGTCTCTGGGTGGGGCGTCTTCCCCCCCATACTACGCACAAGAGTAAGATCTTTAAAACAAAATTTCAGCTTGGCTGCGGCTGAAACTAGGAGACAGCACAAAGCCATACGCATCAAAGGAGCAGTAAGTCAGAGTTATCATCAGTCTGAGAAATAACCAGTCAAAGCAATACAGAAGATACCTTCGTAAATCTCTTGGTTGAAATCATTCATTTGAAGGGTGATAGGAAGAGTTTGTTCGTTGTGAAATATGAATTTGATGAGCCAGAGAATGCGCACAGTACATGGCAGGCTATCATGTGCAGTGTGATTGAGACTTTCAAAACTTGACAAAATGCGAAGGCCAATAACTTTAAAATCAAACTAGATTAAAGTTCAAGAAGTACTTCATGGAATATGAAATATCAAAGAGACTCTCGTGTTTTTAAATGAAACACATAATTTTATAGTAGAGTATCAATCTAGGCCTTAAAAATTAACATTCTCTCCACTATTGTGTATGCCTTTTATAGAGCAGAGAGCGACTGAAGACAAATTGTCTTTCTCCAGGGAGGCAGGCTGCATAGTGATTTAACAGAATGGGCTTTGGAATCAGACAGACCTAAGATAAATTTCCACCTCTGCAATTTAGCAAGTTGTATGAACTCTCTGCTCTCACTCACCGATGAGCTGTTCAGTCCCTGGCAACTGGCAGATCACTGCCTGCTCCCACGTTTTCTTTCCTGAACTCCCAACCCCTCACTCTCTCTCATGTGTCTCATGTATGTGTGTATGGCAGCTCATGATGTATAAAGTTACCATGTGGGAAACTGAACTCTTGACTCCCACCATTTTCCAACACCCCTCCCAGGTTTTCTCATGCAACACTCTTCTCAATTTTAAGTATTTTTCTAGCTATTGAAGTCAAAAAGCTTGGTATCATCCTTGATTCATTTGTCTTTTCTCACTCTAGAAATCATAATCATTAACGAATCAAAATGCTTCTACCCTCACAATATATCTAGGTTCCAACTACCTCCCACTGTTTCTCCCTCACCATCCCAGTCCAGGCATCTATCATCTCCCCTTGGACCAAAAAATCAACCTGTTTTTGGGCACCCTGCTTCTGCTTTTCTCAGCCCTCTCTCACAGTTTAAGTATTGCAGATAGAATGATTCTTTTAAAATTTAAGTCAGAGCATGCCATCCTGATGCTCAAAACCCTTCAATGTCTTCCATTTTCTTACTAAAAATAAATCTTTTTAGCTTCCTGCATGACCCACTCTGCTACCCTTTGGATCTCTCATTCTGCTTCATCCATTCTGACTTCCATGACTTGCTTACCACTAACACATCAAGCCTTTTCACCAGTGTGTTCTGGACCAGATGCTTTTCTCTCTCAAAGCCTATGGCCCAATCCCTCATTTCATTCAGGCCCTGCTCAGATGTTACCCCAACAGCGCGGCCTTCTCTAACACCCACAGGCAACACAGGACCACTGTCCCTCTCCTTGTTCATTGTTCTTTATAGAACTTAACACCCTCTCACATATTACATGTGTTCATTGTATGTCTTACTTATCTGTAAAGTAAGGTTCATGAAAGTAAGTGTCTCTGTTGCATCCTTCCCTTTCCTAATCTTAGCAACAACAACAGAAGGAGTACCCAACAGTGTGCACTCGAGAAATGCTTGTTCTGCTCATCACTTTCCACACTTTGGTCTCAGTTAGTTTCAAAGCCACCCTTCTATTGCCTAAGTTTGAAAATTCACAAGAAAACCTGAAAAGCCTAATGTTCTTTAAAGGGTTTCTTTAACTTTTCAATTAAAAAAATTGATTTTCTTTGTCTCTTCTTGGGAAGGCTGTGGTGGATATTTGCATGCCAACAGAGGAATTATCACGTCACCCAACTACCCGGAGACCTACCCTCCCAACCTCAACTGCTCTTGGCACGTCCTGGTTCAGAGTGGCCTGACTGTCGCCGTCCACTTTGAACAGCCCTTCCAGATTCCAAACAGAGGCTCTTCTTGTAACGAGGGGGATTACTTGGTGGTAGGTCTTGTTTGCTACTTTTGCAAATTACTTTCTGCAGACTTCATTCAGAAAACAAAATGATGAATTTTCTCTCCTGGGACATGCCAATAGAGCTTTTGTGTCTTTAATAATATGAAGAAATGTACACAATTTTAATTTGTATCTCCAGCTAAAAAATGGACCTGATATCACTTCACCACCCTTGGGACCCCATGGAGGAAATGGTCATTTTTGTGGCAGTCGTCCTTCATCCACTCTGTTCACCTCAGATAATCAAATGTTTGTTCAGTTTATTTCTGATAATAGTAATGGAGGGCAAGGATTTAAGATCAAATATGAGGCAAAGAGCTTAGGTAAGTATTCTCACTGAATATAATGTCTGCACTTTTCCTGCAATTGTTTGCTCTTCTTTGTTTAAATAGACTTGAGAAAAAACTATGTAAAGTTTCTGAATTAAGAGTAATGAGAATAACTACCTATCATCAAGCACTTACTTTATGTTAGATACATTCAGTATCTCATCATGACTACTTTTTAAGGAAGGTATCATTGTTCCCATTCTACAGACAAATAAAATGAGGCTTAGATTTCCCCCCAAGGCCACAGAACAAGAGAATAAACAAAGTAAAATTCTCCATGAGTATAAATTGAACTGATCTTAACGATCCCCTGAAATTCCTTAGATTTCTCCATTATAAAATATCTATTATAAGTTACATTCACTTATAGAAATGTTGTAAGAATAATAATTACATTGTCCTGTAATCATTTATATGTTTCCTTTCAAATGAACACATAATCCTCTGATTCTATTACACATTTACTTATATATTACAGTAGTAATCTTTACTTAATTAGCTACACTTGATTATAATTATATTTAATTCTACTGTAATGATTTAATTTTGTGACATTTATTTTTACATAATGTTTAATTGAATAAATAAATAAGCATGACTTCAAACAAGGCAGTAGTATCAGTAGAGAGTATGTCTTTGCTTCAAACTTAGCTAACAGGATTTCAGAATAACCTTATGATTTAATACATGCTAATCTATGAAGTTACATGCTTTATTACACATTCTCCACAATATGAGAATTAATGCAGCATAACTTCTTCATTTTGGGAAAGGAAAAGAAATAACTCTCCAAAGGATACAGAAAATCAGCTAAGAGCTCAAGTAGGTTCTATGACTTCCCAGCACTTGAAAGGACCTTTAAAGAGGCAGCTCTGTGACACCAGCACCGTCACACTGTAAGTCAGGAGCTCTGGCCCCTCCCTGTCTCCACGCTGAGCTTCGCTGCTGAGTCATGACTGGGCTGGATTTCACCGAGTCCTGAGACTTGGTGGAGTAACAGAGCCTGCGTCTAGTGAGGAGACTTCAGCCCATTGCACAGAATTCTACTTCTCCACCTTCACCTCTGCTAGACTGAGTCCTGAACTATATTTTTAAAATCAACATTTAGGAGGAATTCAGATACACTAAAGGTCTATTTGAAAACACTAGGACTCTTTTATTATTCCTCTGTGGACCCTCTAGTCATGCAAGAATGGCAGCACTATTACCTCTCCTCATCTTTCTGACTTTAATATTAGACTTAGCTGTCTTTTGATTTCTATTGCTGGGCAACCCCAACAGTTCGATCACTCTCCTTTTTCCCGACTTTCTAATTCAACCATTTTCCTTAACTACACAGTCAGCCTTCTAGTCCCCATCTGTCTTTCCACCACACTTAACTTCTATGCCACTACCATTTCTCAGCCTTTAACATGGTATTTGGGGGACAACTTCTGACACCAAAGTCTCCTCGTTCTAAGTCATCTTTTTCCAGAGACACTCCTTCAGTATAGTCAGTTGAGATTTCCATGTTCCTGTGCTCAATGCTCTTTATTTTCACCAATTAATTGACTTATTAATTAATTAAGCAAACATTTACCAAGTGCATTACACCTTGCAAACTACCAAGTTTCGTCAAGGAGTTCACAGTGCAGTGGAGGAGACAGGTACAATTAGAACATGGCCTGATAAGGGCTGGATAGAGGAATGCCTCAGGAGCTATGCAAACACGTAAGAGAAACACCTAGCCCAGCCTGAAGGATCAGAGAAGGCTCCAGAAGATGACTAGATATATGCCAGTCAGTGAGGAAAAGATGTGACAACATATAAATTCTCAATGGTTACGTGATAAGGCAAATCATCCCACCTGAAAGAATTCACTACTGCCAGGGAATAGAGGTAAATAGAGGGTGTCCCCAAAAAATGTGTACACACACTTTGAATAATTATAAAGGCAGTGTTTATTAAAATACATTTCATTTCCAAAATTGAGCTCTCAGCTGTTAAAGTGTGTATACATTTTGAGGGGACACCCTGTATAATGGTGATGAAGCAGGCAGGGATCATAATGCAAGGGCGATAGCTGCCACCATAAGGAGTTATGATTTTAGCTGAAAGGCAATGGGGAGCCCTTGAAAGATCTTAATCCAAAGCATGAGTGGCATGATCAGATTCGAAACATGAGTGTGACTGCAGCAGTGAAAATACACTGAAAGGAGAAAGACTAAGCTGGAGAGACCAGATGAAAGAGTAATTCAGGGAAAAAGTATTAGACCCTGAACTAAGGTACTCCCGGCCATGTGGACCCCACACAATGGACTGATGGACTGCAACTGGCCTAATGCTGTACCGGACCCAGCTCCACCATGGAAAGGAAACTGGACACTGGCTTTGCTTCTAGCTCTACCGATTCTCCAGCTGCACCTCTTCCAGGACTGGATTAAGGGAAATGGGACTTTGGAAACTGAGAGATAATTCCACGAAAAGAAAGCTTTCTGTTTCATCTCATCTTCCCCTGGGGGCCTCAGGAAATGCTTAACAATTTGAATGGAACACAACCAGGAAATTTAGATTTTGCAAGAATTCTGAAGGAAAAACTAGGAGTGAGGGAGTTAAAGGCAATCAGAGGAGTTTGCATTTTAAAGTTTCAGAGATGAAGGAGTTCTGGGTAATAACAAAATTCAGGAAATGACCATAAGTGGCTGAATGACAATGGAAATAAATGTCAGTAGAATTTAGCAGACCTGGTATCTGTGAGGCTAAGGTATGGGACAGGTTAACCGTTAATTACCCCATTTAGCCAGTTTATTGCTTGGTTTGTTTGATGAGCTTGACAAAAAAAATGCTTGTTGATAAAATGAAAGTATTGTTTACATAATACTTTGGTCTCTTAGAAAAGTCTAAAAGCTCATTTATCTTTTTGCATAAAGTGGCTAATAAATTCTCTCATGCTATCCATCTCTTGCTCCTCAAATGCATCTAACTCCCAAAGAAACATAATGAGCAAATGCCCACGGAGCTGTGCAAATATATAGCTGCTAAGTCTTTTAAACACATTAAGATCAGGGCTCTGCATCATTCTACTGAGCTGAGCAGTCAGTGGGCAGTTATATTTATATGCTTGCTTAAGTGGAGGGGACATAGCACTGCTCCCATGATGTCCTACCGCTTGCGCTGTGCACCAGTCATTCTGTTGGCCTTAAGGAAAAAGGAAACTTGGTTTGGCAAATTAAAAAGTGACACACTTGGCAGCTTCCATGATAGCAAATTCAGAATTTATTTGCTTAAAAACTAAATAAGGATAATTTCAGATGAAAGGAAATTGAAATTGGAAATATAGATAAAGAGACTTTTAAAAATGATCATGGCAGTTGATGCCATTCTTTTTCTCCAGACTGTAGATTGATTTAACTGTGTTTCCCAACAGCCTGTGGGGGCAATATCTACATCCACGATGCAGATTCTACTGGTTATGTGACCTCCCCCAACTACCCAGACAGTTATCCCCAGCACGCTGATTGCATCTGGCTCATCGCCGCGCCTCCTGGAAAGCTCATAAGGCTACAGTTCGAAGATCAATTCAATATTGAAGTGACACCCAAGTAGGTCACCCCCATTTAATTTTTCTCCTAGCCAGAGTTAGTATATTTTTTAGCTGCCATGTCTCAGTACAATGTTCTTCTTCATTTCTTAGCAACACATACTGCATAGGAAATCCAGGGTTGCGGAAGGGAAATGCTTAATGCTGCAGCCTGAAAGCATTGCCTGCCAGTCACTGTCCCCTCAGCTGAGCAGATCGTCCACAGATATTGTTCTCGTGACCCTGTGCACATCCTCCCAGAGACACTGAGGATGGCTGTTTGAGATTTATGTGATCTGCTCTTCCTCTCGCAGGAAAAGTATAGTGTCTCTGCTAGGTGAGGATTTATTTGCCCAGCCTCATGCTGAGTGTCATAAATGATAAAATATCTGTGTAACAAATGGAAATTTGAGTTATGTGACACCAGGGGTCAGAAATAGAACTAAAGCAAGTACAGTACAAATTCTAATTTCTATTTAATAAGAATTCTGAAAGATAACACACCAGAAAGTAAGTCATACTATGTTGAACACAAAGAGAATAACTACATAGACACCCCCCCCCCAAAATCTATTTTATACTTCATTTAATAAAAGTGTGCATGCGTTTGCATAAATACATGTATGGTACAAAACTTAGATACAAGAGCTTTTGTTTACCATTTCTGGGCACCTTATACAATGCCACTCTCCCAGTCAGTGAGCATTCATTGGCTGATTGACTTTCTCATTAAATATTGAGTAAATCTGCTTGTATGGACATAGAAAATCCCAGCTGAGACTCCATGAGCCCAGGTCACAGAGCTGTCAAGAGAGAGTTCATCTTTGTGAAGTGAAATGGGTTGAATCATGTGAAATAAAATACTTGTGTGTGTTTTTAAATTCCTAGGGGATAATTTGAGAATGACTTTTAAATTTGTAAAACTAATGCAGAATATGGGAGGCAAGTGAGTATTCTTCAGTGTGGTACATGTAAAACCCGTCTTTTTGAGCTACTAACTGAGGGGTGTGTCATGATTCAGAAGAGTATTACACAGTATTCTCAACTAACACCCTACTTAAATTGACTGTCACAGTGTTTTCTGCTCCAGAAAAGATAACTTAATAATTCCCTTGGAAAAAGTGAGTGAAATCTTTTTTAGCAAAATATGTCAAAGCAATTGTCTTTATATATTAAACAGAACTTTCTTTCACTTTAGCTGTACATCCAATTATCTTGAATTGCGAGATGGAGCGGATTCAAATGCACCAATAATTTCCAAGTTTTGTGGGACATCTTTGCCCAGCAGTCAGTTGTCCTCAGGAGAGGTGATATACTTGAGATTCCGGTCTGACAACAACTCCACTCATGTGGGATTCAAGGCCAAGTATTCTATAGGTAACGCTTTTTATATTAAATAAGAAACTAGTGACAGAATAAATACATTAAAACTTAAAAAAACAACCCCACACCATTATAAAAGAAGTATTTCCATCTGCCTAATTTTATTTTATTTTTTTAAATTTATTTTATTGCTGAGAGTATTACAGATGTCCCCAATTTCCCCGCCTTTGCTCCCCTCCACCTATCTCCCACCCCACCCTAGACCTTCACCTGTCTCTTGTTTGTGTCCATGGGCGGTTCATATATGCTTATAAGTTCTTTAATAATTATTTTAATGATAGAGAGAAGTAAGGAATATAAATGTTTAAAACTGCAAGTCACTGATTAATTTTAATTTTTACTTTGATTTTCATTTTAAAACGCTCTTTATAAACTTGAATATTTTATATTTTATCCTAATTTGTGTGTGAAAAAGACACTCAGTTAAATCAAATTCTTGTTTCTTTCTATCATCATGAAATATGTATTACTTTAAATAGTAAAACTCTTTAGCAAATAATAACTATATTTAGAACAGTGATTTTGAACTCCTCGTCATTAATAGATAATTGAGTTGATTTTCTCCCTAAGCCTCTAGTGCCAAATCAGTCACCAGACAAAAAACAAATGTCTCTTTAGTGTTTTGATTTCCTTACTTAAAAAATTAGCAGTAAGTATGCATACTGAAAATTCATTATAATAGGGTCACAATTACACAGAATTAAAGGTGGATCTGGACACTAACCAAATATATTCGACACATCCAGCACTTGGAAAGCCCAGTTGTTTCATAACATGATGCAAATTGTATATAGGTCAATCTATCACATCTAGCTAATGAAAAATAATTGAATAGTAATTTTCAAGGCCCTGAGATACCAGTTACTACAGTAAAACATGTATTTGATAGTTAAACTAGAAATGAACCATAGCACTCTCTCCAGCTGAATTTGTACTCAGTCTTCAGAATTACCAACACAGGATACTAGACAGGCCCTATCCTATCAATCTATCAGTTGGTTCTTGATATGAAATGTAATTGCAACTAATAGCTTTTACATGGCATCCTAAGAGAACTAAAGAGATATTACAGAATGTGTCCTCCAGCAGTCTTCTAGTCCAATAATTTCCCATTATTGGATTGAACTTGTGCTCTCATTTCTCTTTACTATTTCCAATAGTAAGGAAAGTACTAATAAAACATTTTCAGGATTTTTAAAACTTCAATTCATGTTCGCTTGACACCTACAAGTTTTCAGATGTGCTGGTGAAATTTTAAAAAAACTAATATTGCTCTTTTTCTTGCAGCCCAGTGTGGGGGAACATTGACAGGGCAAAGTGGTGTCATCCAAAGCATCGGGTACCCAACACTTCCATATTCAGACGATTTATTCTGTGAGTGGCATCTCCGGGGTGCCTCAGGACACTATCTCACCATCCATTTTGAAGACTTTAACCTTCAGAATTCCTCTGGCTGTGAGAAAGACTTTGTTGAGATCTGGGAAAACCATACCTCTGGTCAGTAAAAGATGCCTGCTGTCTTTGGGGGTGTTTATTTTCACATGTACTCACTCAGCCTCTGGAGTTTCCTCACTTCCAAGAAAGGCAAAACTTTGTCTGTTCTTGGCAAAGAAGTGAAGATCAATCAGATGTGCAAAGTGCCAGCCTTTCTCTCCCTCCATGCACCCTAAACAACAGGTGTCCTGAGCCACAGGTGTCATTCTATAGCTTACCCTGCAGACCACTGAGAGAGCACGGTGGTGGGAAGGCAGCTTCCTCCTGCTGAGACATTCCAGGGCCATGTGCAGTTATTTGAGGGATATCCTGTTGGGTAAGGAGAGGAAAGGGTAATGTAGCCTAGAAATAATATGAGATGGACACTTGTCACTCTATTTCTTCAGACCATTTCTTTAACCAAATGAGCTAGCCTTCCTCACTGTGCTGAGGTACCTTCACCCTAATTGATTGCCATTTTTGCTACAGTTCATATATTTGAATATATTGATTTTTATTCATGTTTATCCTGCTTCTTTTGACAGAGGTTATCATTTCTTCATAGACAGGGTCTTAACCTTTTATTATTTTCTTCATATGTGCAGAACACCTCCAGTAGAGGTTAAATAAAATCAATCACCTGGACACATATGTATTTGACTTATTTACATATGTATTTGACTTATTTACTTCTTTGACTATCACAGGAAATGTACTGGGCAGATACTGTGGAAACATCATTCCTGACAGCATAGACACTTCTGGCAATGTCGCCGTGGTCAGGTTTGTCACCGATGGCTCTCTTACTGCCTCAGGATTCAGACTACGGTTTGAATCCAGTTTGGAAGGTAAGTTCAGGGATTTGTGTAAAATATATATATTTATTGAGTACCTACACTGGATAGACACTCTGCTAGGCACTGACGTTATATCAGTTGGGGGTGGGAACATGACCCTGTCGTCTTGGACCTTACAGCTTAGTGGTGAGGCAGACATCAAATAGTCACAGCGAAAAGTGACAAACCACAACTGTGATCAGTGCTACAAGGGAAGGGAACTAGCACTGGGAGAGATGTAAGGGGAAGGGAGCTGTACTATATTACTCATCTGAAGGACGCCAGCCCATTAGTCCTACTCAGAATGTGCATTCCAAATTCCCTGAAGAACTCAGGTAAAATGATGATCTTGTCTGGAAAAAAAAAAGGATTTTTTTGGCTCTGATTTTCCTGGCTCTAAGATTACTACATTTATTGGTCTCTCATATTTCTTGGGCCATGATGATGAAATGCTGTGAATTATCACCCATGGAAACAAAGATTAAGTATTAATAGGAAGTGAATACGAATGTTTTGTATAAGTCCTCACATACCTATTGTTATGTCAACTGATGCTTGTTGGCGTCAATTCAGTGTCAGCAGGAATCTTCAATTTGGGGCGCAGTGAAGAGGAAACTTTATGAGTACAGAACAGCTCAGCTGTGATACAACATAGCTGTGAAAACAGCATGGCTGGGAGGCCACTCTGGGGCGAGGCAGCTCCTGGGCCAGGGGCCTCCGGCTGGCCAGCTCTGCACCAGTCGGCTCTGGCCTGCACTGGTCTGCTCCCCTCTACTCTAGTAAGACATCCCGGGTTTCGGCTTCAGCTGAGGAAACTGTGGTCCCAGAGCCAGGGGGAAGCTGATTTAAATAGACAAAAGTCCCCACTCCTGGTCCCTGATTGGTCTGTCCTCATGCAAATGAGGACTCCAAATTTTCACAGTTTGATTGGTCCACAAGGCACTGTCCTGATTGGTCAGAATGGAGCCACTCTGATTGGTGGTGAAGAAGCTGATGGAGATTGAACTGTGCAGTTCTGACTGGATGGGGAAAGCCTCAGTCCTATTGGTTGAAATAGGATTCCAGGAACTTTATAAAGGCTGGCTCACATGGCAGAAACAGTGCAGGAGGGCAGTTCAGTGCAAGCTCCTCCCTGGTTTGCAGTTTTCAAGAGAGGCACCTGTGTAGAAATGGCTGCTAGACTTTGTTTTTCAAATTTGAGCCCCGTTAGCTGCCAAGAGCCCTTCTTAGTAAGCATCTTCTTTCTCAGGGTCCACATAAATAAGAGCAATGATTTTGTCTAGTGTGAGAATGAAAAAATATAATAATAATGTTGAGAACATTCTTTATAGAAGGGGTCAATTTGGTTTCATTGGAAGTTTACTTGTTTTTCTCCCTTCAGGATGTGGTGGGGATCTACAGGGCCCTACTGGAACATTTACTTCTCCCAGCTACCCTAACCCAAACCCCCATGGCCGGGTCTGTGAGTGGAGAATCACTGTGCAGGAAGGAAAGCAGGTCACCCTAACTTTTAACAACCTGAGGCTGGAAGCTCATCCATCCTGCAACAGCGAGAGTGTGACAGTAAGTGTCCCGTGCAGTCAGGGATGTTATATTCCATTGGTTAAGGAGTTTATTGGCTCATAAATCATAGTCAGAAAACTAGGTCAGGAATATCCCCATTGTGCAACTGAATCTCAGACAAATTCTAAGTATTTTAGATAGGACAAATTCTCACTAGACTGCCACAATAGTTGTAAAAGCTGTTTTAAGAGGCTGTTGTCATAGCACACATCAGGGTCATAGGTAGGATAAATTTTAAGAGCAAAATAGGGTAAACAGAGAAATTAAGCCTATGGGTAGCACATGGCTAAATGGGACCAGAGACACAGAGCAACCCACCACCAAAAGTTTTAAACAGATGAATGTCCTGCATGACGCTGTTCTATGCAGAGATACTGAGTGACTCATCTGAGAGACCATGGCTGCTTGTCCTCTGTGTTGCCGAGCTCAAATGCTCTGAAATGCACCCTCAGCATTTTCACCTTCCCTTAGCAGGAGACAGAAGTGAGATCCATGAGTGTGAAGAAGATTGTTCATTGTGAAATGACAGATCTATATGCATATATACTGTATTGATTGCAGAGTAATATTAGTATATTTTCCTGACCAGCTTGTCTTTTCTTTAGGCTCTCTTACCTCAGTAAATAACAATTCCAAACTCTTGATTGCTCAGGTCAACCTTGATGTCTGTTTTGGAGTCGTTTCTCTCACACTATATTATATCCATAAGCAAGTACCATTGGCCGTATCTTTTAAAAAGATCCAGAGTCTAACTACCTTTCATCATATCCACTATTACCACCATCACCACTCGGATTTATTTTCATAACTTCCACCCCTGTCTCCCTGCATTCTCAACACAGTAGCCAGTGTGATGGGTTTAAGTGTAAGTATTGTGTTGCTCTCATTGAAAACCCCCTAATGGAAAATCCCAAATCCTCACCTTGGCCCGCTGGCCCTACATTATTTTCTGCCTCTTCCTTTCCTATCTCTGTACCTTATCTCACACTCTCTTTCCCTTTAGCTCACTAGGATCCAGCCAGCCACACACTGGCCTCTCTTGAGTTCATTGCATATGCTGAGACCCATCCTCCCACCCCCCAACCCACTTCACATGCACTGTGACCTTTGTCTAGATGACTTCCTACTTCACCCTTTCACTTCACTGAGATCTCTGCTCAAATTACTTGATCTATGAGGCCTTCCTCAAGCACCCCACATTAAATAGACCTCATCTTGGCTTCGCCCTTTCCCTACATTATTGGTTTCACAGCACTTCAGACCAGCTGACACTCCACATATTTATTTGTTTGCCTGCTCCCCCAACTAGTTGCGAGCTCCATTAGGACATGCACGTGGCCTCCTTCAGTGCTGAATGCCCAGTGCCTGGCACTTAAGGACAACTACTGTTGAGTGAATAAATAGTAGGAGTACTATCATTATTCTTTTTAAAAGCAAGAGGCTTTTGTTTTCTATTCTTATTGTCTACTGTTGGGTAGTGAGTTTCAAAAGTATGAAACATCTTCATAGGTTACTACCACTTTTTATTACCCTAAAATGATCATATTCAAGCTTACAATTTTGCCAAGTTCTAATATCTGAAGGAAAAAAATTAAGTACTCCCACTATACCATATATTGATGCATTTTCTTTTCTTGGCAATGGATAATATTATGTAATTATAAAAACGTGACATAAATTCACTTGTATACTACTTTTCATCTATCTTTCTGATTATAAATACAATGGATGCTTATTGACCAAAATTAAGAGAGTTCAGAAAAGTCCTTGGAATTCTACACACTGGTTAGCATTTTGATGTATATGCTGTCTTTTCCCCTTTGAAATGGTTTCCATAGTTGAGATCAAATTGAATATAATGATTATTAAGAATCTTACCAGCAAAATATCCACATGCCCTATAGGAAAGATAACATGAAGAATTCTAGTTTTGGAACTCAAATAATTACCAAAAAAAAGTGATAGCGATGGCCACAAATGCTGAATTATGTCTTCTCATTTCCCCATCTCCGAATCACATATGCCAAAGGCATCCACTTTCAACTTTTTTAGCTACTACTTGAGGAATTTCTGTCATTATTTAAAAATAATATTCCTATTCTGCTACTTTTTTATTTTTGGATCTTAGGCATTATCTATCTACCTCCAGCTATGGACGGTGAGGATTTAGCTCCCTTCACAAACCAGCCCCTACCACCACCACAAAGGCACACGCCACATACTCCCCCGACTTCCTCCCAAAATACTTATGTCACAGATTTTGTTTAAACTGTTATTTAATGTTTACATAACCATGATCATGTAAACATCATTTGCAACAAAGCCAGGTATTGTTCTCTAATAGCGTTTGTTTTTGTTTTTTCACGTAATAATAATAACACCTTTTTTACATTTTCTTGGTTTTCTATGCATCTATCACTAATTCTTCCACACACTTTCCATTCCAGACACACTTTCCACCCTGCCTTATATAACAAAGCACGTCTATTATTTCCATTCATTTTCCTTAGCAATATCCTTCCTTGAGCCTTTGTTCATCAGCCCCACGCCTGATGCCAGCTGTCATGCTGACATTTCCCTTCACCAAATTTCCAAGTCCCTTTTTCCCCCCCTGGGCTGGATACCCGGCTGTATGATATGAGCACTTCCCTTTCTTGGTTAGTTTTCTCTGTTTGGTGAGGCATACGCTCTTGCAGCTTCTTAGGGAAGTGAAGATGAGTGACAAAATTTTGAGACTGTGTATACATAGAATTGTACTTGGAAAAAATATCCTCAGGTTAGGATTAACAGAAATTAAACTTTAGTCTTATTCTTTGAATATGTCATATATTTTTAAATATATATGTTCAATATACATATATATGTTCATATACATATATGAATATATTAATCATAATTTTGAAGCATTTTGCTTTTTATGTGGTCAGTTTCCTTTCAGTTCCTGTTTTCCATTTATATATATTTGTCTCTGCCTTTGACATTAGATGTTTCCCTAAATGTCTGATATTTAAGAATGAAGTACTAAACGCCTGATTGGAAGCTCTGTGTGCATGGCTGGGGCTGTCAACTTGTGGGCTTCATGGGAGGTGACAAGGGGAGAGAGGACTACTTAATCATAGGAGGTTACAGATGTCATATCTATAGGTCTTTTCTCCTGGGGAGGTTAAAACTCCAATAAAGAAACACTTTCAGAATTAATTTCTGAATTTTTAGTATGATGTCCACATTCTTTTCCTTTGCAACATATTTTTATAGGTTTGATGTTTGTTTCGTTTGCTCTTCACTCTACTTCAAACAAGGGGGTGTGGGTTTTCCTTTGCTCACCCTTTATTTATTTGAGAAATCCTCAGAAAGAAAGGAAAAAAGGAAGGAAGGAAGGAAGGAAGGAAGGAAGGAAGGAAGGAAGGAAGGAAGGAAGGAAGGAAGGAAGGAAGGAAGGG